GTAATACATATAAAATACTATGTAATTGTTTATACAAATCCTTTAAAAAAAAGTTAATTATATAGTAAAAGATTGCACCGCCATTCTTTTCGCCGGGGACTGTAGTCTGTTAAAGATTGAGATCAAGATAAAAAAGATAAAAAAAGAAAAAAAAAAACAATAATAATAGGAGAAAGATAATAATATGATAATATAAAATCCACTCATTTGAAAAATAAATGAATATCAAATAGTCAAATCTGAAATTATTTTGCTTCTAGACAATTTTTTTTTAAAATAATATGTTAAGTTTTTAATAAAAATATTTATATAACTTTTATGTTAGTTTATATATAAAGATAGGCATCACAATTAAAAAAAAATGGCATAATTGAGTTGCAACTTGTGACACAATTAAATTTCCTAATATCACAATTAAGTTGCAACTCAATTAAAATTTAAAAATAATTATAGAGACCATTTTTATTTATATAGATAAACATTTTGATAATAGAAACAAGATATATTAGCAAGATTTTAATACTTATCACATAAAAATTAAATTCTAACATTTTTACAAAGGAAATTTAAATAAAATGAAAATGATAACAAAAGAAAATAAGTTATATAATAAGAAAGTTTAAAATATATATACCTGTATCAGACATTGTTTATAATATAAATGTTTTTAAGATTGTAAAATCTAATTTTTAATTAGTCTATTTATCATTATATATTTATCAAAATCTAAAATTACGTAAATTTTTTCATAAAATTTAAAAAAAATTACCTTTATTAAAATTACGTATCTATTTCAATTTGAAATATAGACTATTTTGCAGATTCAGTTTTACTTTATCTGTTTATTTCTTATAATATTAAATACAATTCATAATAGTAAAGAAATTAAAAATGGTTTAAATATTATAAATTATATAAATTAATTTTTGGTAAAAATTTTTTATATTATTTATAATAAACAAAAAAAGAAAATGATTAGTTTGCATAAATTTTATCAAGTATAAATAAAATTAAGAAGTATAAGATCAATATAATAATTATTATAATTAATATAATTAATACATTATAATAATTAATATAAACTAGGTAATAGGAACTATTTACAAGTCTGAAATATTAAAAATATAACCTATTTCAAATTCATGCGATAAAGTAATCTATAATAGAATAGCAATAAAACAAATGCATATCAATAAACATCAACTCAAATTAAGAGCAGAATAATAGACAGATATCTTATGTCACTACATCTAGATTGTAAATAATCTTATGTTATACTCTAGACTAATTATTATAAATATAATATAAGTATAATATTGATTTTATTTATTATATATAAATTTCTAATTATAAATATAAGTTTATACAAATTTATATAAATTATTTTAAGATTTGTAACTTTTTGTAATTTTATATAAAATCATATTTATAAGTATTAATAAATTTTTAATCTAAAGTTAATCATATAAGTCAGTTTTATATTTTAATATCTGCTGCTTTTTTAACTATTCATACTTTATCTGTACTTTTCTGCAACTTATAAAATTTTACAAAAAAGGTATGTATTTAATGCATAATTAGATGTTAAATATTTTTGCTGATTATTGAAACAGGTTATCATATAAAATTTTGAAGAATTAGCACTTTTTTCTTATATTATCTGTCTCAGATATTATTCTATGATAACACTGATATAAGTTATTTTAATTTGAAATAATATTATAATTTTTAGTTTATAAAAAATAAAATATTTAATTATATATCTTTTATAAATATATATATTGGTTATATTTATAATCTTATTTTGATACAATAATTATTGTTATATATAATAATAAATATAATTACACATATTATAAATTATATAAAAAAGTGAAAGTAAAAAGAAGTTATTATTTATATTTTGATTTTTAATATTTATAAAATAGTTTGAATTATAATTAATTTATTTGATTATTATTTTATTTAGATATATATTATAAAGTAGTTGTATTTAATAAAAATATTATTTAAATTCAAAATTTAATGAAGAATATAAAATGTTAAAATTATATTAGATCTTATATAATTTAATTAAATAATATATTTTTATTAATATTTACTATAATATTTTATTACTAATACATGTATATATTTATAACTATAAAACATATATAAAAAATGCTTGCTATTTTAGACTTAAAACTGAAGAGTTAAAAAAAAAATTTAATTTAGTAATACATATATTTTTTCAATTAAATAATCTGTTTTAAATAACAAAATTAATAAGATAAATGTAATAAGATATTGGTTTTATTGGTTTATTAAAGAACAATTATTTATTATATAAAATATTCAGGTTCAATTTATCAGAATGTAGTCGTTTGACTATCAACTAGCTTTCAAGTATATTTATTTGATTAACTAAACATTAATTGTGTACGAAAACTTCGATCTCCAAAATCTACTCTACTATTCAAAAGAATTCTTTATTTTCATGATCTATCTACTTATGACTATTGAGAAATTGAGAAATAAAGAATGATTTCAGAATGCCAATCCACCCTAAGAATTAATAATAAAATTTATTTAAAAAAAAAAAAAAAATATTCAATATACAAAAAATTTAAATATAATATTACATAAAAAAGAAAAAAATTTCAAGGCAAAAATAATTTATTAAAATTAATTTAAAGTCCCAAATAGAAATAGTTCTATAAAATTATTCTTGATCATCAGGAGATAAGCCATCGTCAACTATAAAAAAAACATGAATTTAATTAAATAAATCAAATAACGATTTAAAAATTAAAATTTAAATTCCTACTTTTTCTTCTATAAATTGTAATTTCTTGTTGTTTAAAATATCGTCGATTTTCTTCATCAACGAGTACAAGATTAAGATAATAACGTGTGGAAAACTTTTTGTTAACATCACGGAATGTTGGAGTTAATTCAAACCCTCCAAGGAAAAGACGAATGGGAATTGTTTCACCTATATCAAATTTTATAAAAAAAAGTTATTAAAATAATTAAAGTAACCTGCAATTTGTAAAATGTGAATATAACTTACCGCGTACAGGAGCGCCATCCATAATTTCAAATTTAGTAATTGTTTCGCTTTCATTATATTGATTTGGTGCTAAACAATAATTAAATGGTTTAGTGTATGATAATTAATCGTCATACGTACTTACATATTGCTAAATACCTGCGCCAGTAGTTTCACGACGAATAATTGACAATTCCATATGTTTAATTTTTATACGAACGAGTAGGAAATAAATTTTGCCTACGATTACATCTTTAAGGTGATATCTAGGAAAAAAAAAAAATGTAATGTTAATTTCTTCTTTCTTTTAATATTAATATATATATATTTTTTACATTAAATTTTTCACAACGTTTAAGCAAACCTTGACTTATTGTATTCAAATTCAATATGTAGACAATCTTCAATACCAACTTCCATTTTGATAGAACTATTACTATCTGGGGGCATACGATATGAATAAACCCATATATCTTTCTCGTTTACAATATCAGTTATACGCCTTGAAATAGTCACGCGGACGAAATATCTAAAAAGAAAAATACTTAATAAATTACAATAAAGGCATACTTAAAATATAATAATATTCACCTCAATTTAACATTTATTCCGTGGTAACTCTCATATTGTTTTTCGACATTTTTGAATTCGAATTCATAAGAGTGTGGTTGACGCATTTCACCAGGTACTGCCAATTCTTGTACTAAAGAAGTAAATTCGTAATGATTACCTCGATCGTAGAAAAGCTCTAAATATTCCAAATTACATATTATTAAAACGATATTCGAGTAATGATAAAATAATAGATATTTGTAGATAGCTAGATATGAAATTACCAATATTTCCTACGAATTCTATTTTAATTCCTTGATGTTCAAGCTTCTTTCCATCGCGAGGTCTGATAGTTACCTTGTTTAATTTTTTTTAAAAAAAAATTGTTTTAATTAAATTAAAAAAAATCACACACGCATTAAAAAGTCTTACTCACTTTGCCAGTTACGGTTTCTCCATCAAAATACAGGGGAAATTTTTCACGGCGATCTTTATCAACCTTGACCTCTACTAATTTCCTCTGTTCTTCTCCATTAAAACGAATGTCAATATCTGCCGGTGAACTGAAGCTAAAAAGACTCTATAATAATGAAAAGCGATTTAATTATATAATTCGTCTTAAGATAGTTTTTTAAAAGAAGAAAAGCTTAGAAAAAAATTACAAGCAACCATTGATAAATCCTGGAACGAAATGATTTGTACGTGAATTGGTAAAAACGAGAAAATATTCAAAATCACGATGCTTGCCCGTTTTTGGTCGATTGAGGTTTGATTTGATTGGCTAGATCTGTTGTACGACACAAACAAAAGTATAATTTAAAGAATTCGTTTGTTGGGAATAACGTGGTTACTTACTTTTCGATATTTCCTAGAATCAAATATCTACAATTGTTGAATTAAAATATACATAACTCACGTGATTTTGACTTCATAGAATATTCTCGAACTTCCCTTCCTTCTTGTAAAATAACAATATTTCCGCGTATAAACCGTTACAATTTGTGAGCTCAGTAAAATTTAAATGTATGTATTGATTATTTATAAAAGCATCAATAAGTCAAGAATGTACCTCTCGATTTTAAAATATCACAATCGCGATACTTTTCTGTAAAATACAAGAGGTAAATGAAACTTGGGATTTTATTATTTTATGAAAGTTTGATTGGAAAATTTGTTTGTTATTGCAATGAATTATCATTATTATCATTATTGAAATACAAATATAATAATTGCCTGTATTTTTTAACTAATCAAAATTCGTAAGATTACGTAATCAATCAATAAATAAGTAGATATTCATCTTACGATCGGTGAAATTTTTTTTTCTCTTTCACAAAAATGAGTGCAACAAAATTAGGCATTTTGCTCGTTCGTACACTAGCGAAACCAATTGCAAATAGTATTAAAGTAATTAAATAAGCTTTGTTTTTAACTTTTTATAAAAGTTTTGTACTCACGTCCTTTGTTTTCTATTAAAAAAAAAAAACAAACAAATAAGAATTATAGTAAAAGACATGCAACTTTTCGTCAAATGTGTATTAATGTAGCGCAGGCAACTCATCGGTTTGAAATTAAATTAAAGATGAATTTATTGAGTCAAAAATCAGAAAAAATTCGTCCTTTAAACGATGCAAAGTAATTTATCATCTTTTTTATTCCTCTTTTTACATAATTTATATTTTTAAATATATATATTTTATATTTGTACAATTAGAGCTGTAGAGATGGGTGCTAATTTTTTAGGCGAGGCAGTTATTTTCGGAGTTGCAAGTTCTTTAATCATATGGGAACAAGCTAGGTATATGTTGAGTATTAATATTTATATTAATTCTTTAAATTTTATTAACATTTTTTTTTTTTATAGATCCTACAAAATTTCCAAAGATCGTCAACATCAATTGAATGAACAAATAGAAAAGTTACAAGAGGAAACGACAGAATTAAAATCTCACATCGAAATAAATCGATCATTTGAGGATCGAATGATGAATCAACTTGAAGAACTGAAAAATGATAATGAAAAATTACGAACCCTCTTAGATAGAATTTTGATAAAAGGATTGGAACCAAGGAAGTCTCAAATTTTAAGATTTCCTGGAATGCAATGGGAAAATAAAGATGATAATAAAAATCCACAAGATCAAAATACTCTTGAAAATAAAACCATTGAAAAGATTGATTCACAAAATTTAAACTCCGCTGATCCGCAGTAATAAATATGATTGTCGCGGAATTATAATTTTCTTTCATATATATCACATGCCAAACGGAAATAATAAAATTCCATCCTGTGCCACAGTTTTAACTGAGTCGATACTTCCTTCCCCTTTAGTAAAACCTAATTCAATTATCCAAGTAAAATGAAATTATGGGATTCTTTCGAGTTTGGAGATCAAGGGACTATGGACGAAACTAGTCCCTTTGACGATTGTTTCAAACTCTCAAAGAAACAACGACTTTATGGTTTTGGAATCTGGTAATTTACCTCGCGTTGCATTTTGTCTCCAAGCTCAATTGTAAAGTTTATTAACGCGTTATACGTTTATCGTGCAAAATAGCTTTGTTCTTGGTTTTATTATAAGTATACTGGTGAGTTTTTTTACTATAAAAGATAATCTTCACTACTTGGTAGCTAAACTAATCTTTTTCTTATTTCCTTTAGTCTACGCTTTCATTATTAACCTCAAACATTACTGGCTTTGCCATTTTGTATACTATTGGAAATGTTATATCTCTCATGAGGTAAAGCTATTTTACAATAAATTCTTTGAAAAAATATCGAAACCTCTAATAGATTTTTTTTTTTTAAAAAAAAAAAAAAAGTACCGGCTTCCTTGTCGGGTTTAAAAAACAAATAAAAACGATGTTTGCCCCAGGTATTTGAATTTTAGAAAAAGATGTATGAATTGAATTAACGTTTATGATTATGATGTAATTAATAAGTTGATCTCTTGTTGAAGTTCGCTGGTTTGCTAGTTTAATTTATCTTGGAACCTTGGTGCTTACATTGGTAGTCGCGTTCACAGTAAGTTATACACCGAAATGTGGTTGTTTTTTCTTTATTGTAATTGTCTAAAGGTACAACAATCTGCCCTTAACGCAGCTGAAAAGTGGAATTATATGTATTATTTTATGCTTTATTCAATGGTTGGCATTATTTTGGTATTGGCAAGTATTATTATTAAAAAGGGTTTTTCTTTGAAATTTTTTTTTTTTCCTGTAATTAATTTATATATTTCGACCGATTTTTTTAGTGCTAGTTACATACCCTACGGAAGGTAAATATGTTAAAACTAATCATTATTTATAAATAAAAACTAATTAATATATTTTATTATTTAGGACTATCATCAAAAAATTGTTTGGAAGTTGTGTTGATAGTGTGGTATAAAGTTGAGGTGTTTGATCGTTTATTTCAGTCTATCATATTTCCATATTTTAACAGCCGATATTTTTTGATTATTTATGATTACAATAATTTATCTCGACATTTTCTATTTTGCAGTGTTCCTTTTCCCCTTTGTTATTGTCAAAAACTTTTATATCCTAATGTAAAAAAAAAAAAATAGTATTCCTTCAATTTTACGTTAATAAATATCCGAATATAACAATGTAGATTTTTTTTTTTAAAAAAAAAAAAAATTCCTGTTAATTTGAAAGCTTCCGCTTTCAAAATCTAATCACATGTAAGTGCTTAATCTCTCAGCAACAGCTTTAGCATCAAGCTTTTCATCTCCAAACACATGGATATGCATATTCCGTTTTGTAATTGCCTTAATATCCGGCCTCAAATTTTCCCACTCTTTTAATTGCTGTTTTTCAAATACAATCTGTTTTCTAACATATTCTTTAACAGCATTGAAAAAATCCTGTTCACGATTTTCTTCATATACCCTTAATTCGTTATGAAGATTATTCGTTACACGTTTGACACGTGCGTCAAGATTTTGCTCGTAACCTTTGGCCTTTTTAAAAAATAAAATAAATTAAAATATTTTATAAATAATTTGTCCAAATGAGAAATACTAATTAAATGAATAGAAAGTCTCACATATTCTAATTCTTCTAAGGCTTCATCAACTTTATCAGACTTAATGCTTGTTGAAGACTTTAAACGTTCGATGTAACGTCTTTTGCTTATAGTAGTTTTCACTGATTCGTCATGCTCAGATATAATTCTAAGACGGTTTGTTAAAGTTTCCTAAATAAAAATTCGTCAAAAAACATTTCTTTGGATTACATAATATTGTGCTTTTGTCATAAATTGTATCATATACCTTTACTACATGAGAATTAATGGAATAGTAACTAAAAAAATCACCGAGAGTAGCTACTTCACTAATAGCTTGTAATTTTTGTAGTTCACTAATTATTTGAAGAGTTTTTCCAAATTTTCGTATACCACTAAGAGAAAAAGATCTTAAATTACAGTTTTAAAAAAAAAATTTGACAATAAATATTTTATTAGTTACTTTGATAAAGGGGGATGCTTTTCAACTGTTCCCAATGCAATAAATTTTATTCCAAGATCGTTATTAAACGTTGCTAAACCTAAAAATTGTAGCTTGAGTTTAATAATCATTACACAATGATGATAAAAAAAAAAATAATAAAGTAAATTTTAAATGATAACCTTTACGAAATCTTGCCAATTTTTGGCAAGTTTTAGCACTATCAAGGAAATGTCCTTCTAAAATATGCGCAATCGATTTTGCCTGAGTCAACCCTTTATCCTCATCTATAATATCCGAAGAGAACTTAAGTCTGAACCCACCAGACCTCTTACGTGGTTTAGTAGCTGGGATAAACTAAATAAATAAATAAATTTCTATTATATAAATATATATGCTCCTTTTCAATGTTTTATCCTTCAATATCTTAACTTACAGTAAAATCAGTTTCTATAAATGATCGAAGTTCTTCATCATGACATAAAAAGGGATTCATTGCCACTCGATTAACCCATAGCTGTATTGAATGCTTAACTCTACGTTCATCCTCCTCATTTGCTTGATAACTACTAGATGAAAAAGGTAATGCTGGTACTATACATTCCGGATTAGAATAGGCCAATGCATTGTATAACCTCTCAAATTCTACATATGAACGTTCAACTGAAGCATATGAACTATTTTTATATCGAGGTAAATTCGTCTGAAAGAATAATGATATAATTATTATTCAAATGCTTAAATAAACAAAGTTTGAGGCTCATGCAAAATTTATGTTTCTTACAAAAACTTTAAACTTGAAAGCAGGATCGCGACGGTTTTTGTCCAGAGTCGTTATTGAAATACGTAAATAATATCCCTCATCTTGTGGTTGTTGCGATGAGCCATTTTTAAGTTGTTGTCTTGTTCTAGAAAATTTAGGCGACGAATTTTGATGACTCTGAATTGTTTCCTCATTTTTATTTAACACAGGTTCTTGTGGTACTGCCATTAATCTCAAATGACTAAGAGAGAAAATCAATAAAACAATTGATATTTTTTGTTGGCGGTTTCATATTATGATAGATAAACATATGATTGCGTTGTTGTAATGTGTAACCTTATTAAGAAATCGATCAACCAAATTAAGTTATCGAATAAAGGAAAATTTACTAATTAAGGGTTAAATCCCAATGTATACAAAACATTTATTTTTTAAAATGATGTAATTGCAAAAGTCAATTATTTGAATCACTTTATTTGCACTAATAAATAAATAAATTAAATACTAATATTAACCAAAAAAAAAAAAAAAAATATTTAATTTTATGAATTTATTGTTATATATATATCAAATATTATTTATAAATTTATATATATTAAATTATATATATCATAATATTAGAAATCTTATTATAATAAAACTTCTTAATAATGCAATTTTAATAATTTTAATATATATATAAAACTAGTAATACTTAAATACTTATAAATATTAAATATTTATATATAATAAATATTAGAGTTTTATAATTTAATACAATAGCAAAAAATTGCTAATTTCTAAATTTTATGTAATCATATGGGAGGCGGTCAATAGAAAAGAGGGAAATCTACAAATTTTGAGTAATTTTAGTTATTAAGCTAGTTTTGTTCACATGACCATGATCAGCAGAGTGAACCAATAAAAAAATTTTTGACTAAAAAGTGGATTTCCCCCCTTTTCTACTGACCGCCCCCCGTATTTTAATTTCCAATTTATATGTTATTTATTATTATGTAATGTTTTTTGTAATTGCACAGATTTAATTAATTAGAATTTGTCATTTACTAAGTTTAATTATATTGATATAGCGAAAAGTGTAGAGGCGCCGATGTTAAGGCAACAATGATTAATTCAATTAATACCTTCTGCTTACATTACTAATTGTTTATAAATACATAAACGAAAGAACTGAATACAATAATATCCGCAATTGGGATTGTCGTCATTTAATTTAATAATTTTAGTTTATTAAATTGTAAATTTTTTATTTTATTTATTTCAAATTTAAAAAATTTAAAATACTTATATTTATAAAACTTTGTCTTTATTAAAATGTAAAAAAATATGCAAAAACTTCTCGGCCATTTAGGACAATCTGAAATGTTTAAAATGACCAAAGTGGCCATTTGAGATGGTCGATTTCAAAATGACCATTTTGGATATTATCCGAAATGAGCATTGCGGACATTAAAGCATTTGGACTAAAACAATTTTGATAGAAAAATAAATCAAAAGAATGGGTATAGCGACTCTTTAAAAAATTTTAAAAAAATGATATGCACTTGTGTGGCTGAAAATCTTTCTAATCCGTCTTTATATATACATACAT